GAATTAGAAGAGCGAAGGTTGCGAGGTGGGGAGTAGGGCAATGATAGTTCAGACAAGTACTGAGGTGCCAAGCCATGCAGAGCCTTATAGGTGAGCATGAGGATTTTAAAATCCACATGGAATTTGACAGGAAGCCAGTGCAAGGACTCCAGGATAGGAGTAATGTGATCAATATTGATATTAATAGAGAGGTGCAGTATACTCTGCTCTATGTTCTTGTTTCTCATCTGTTTTTGCACCAGGGACCAGCACCTTAAGGTCTTCGTTCTCTGACGACCCACAAAGGCTAAAGGTTAGTAATGTTGCGTAAGGTTATGGCAAAGACCAGTCAGCATCACTCCAGACCAGGGGGCTGGGAAACACCATGACATTTTTGCACCTACCATAAGATGAAATGGCAGAAATTATTTCCTGTGATTGCTTTTAACGTGCCTCTCTTCTGTTGCACTGAACAACAGCAGACGTTTGTTTAATTAATGCTTCCGAAGCCAAACTTGGCTGTCCTCTCACCTTCACTGTTTATTTCAATTTTTTAAAGTTATCAAACCATTTTCTAACTGCTTGTCCAATACTGGGTCGTAGGGGTAGCCGGAGTCTATCCCAGCAAGCAGCTGGTTAAAGGCAGGGTACACTATGGACAAGACACCAGTCCATTACAGGACAGACACTCTGACACAGACATGCAACACACACCAGGGCCGTTATTCCCAGAAGCCAACTAACCTACCAGGATGTCCTAGGACTGTGGGAGGAAACCAGAGCACCCAGAGAAAACCCATGGGAACACAGGGAGAACATACAAACTCCACACAGATAGCACCCAGGGTCCTAGTGCTGCAAAGCACTGTGGCACTGTGCCTCCCTTTTCTAAACATATTTTGATATGAATAAAAATGCTTTGCATCTAACTGAATCGCTTAATGCCTCTTCAGTACTGTCATTTAAGGGCCTGATACTGTATGAAATGTTACACGTTTTATAAAATAAAAAAGTCATCTTAGTCAGTTTCTAGTGAATTGTCGGCTTTTCTTCTTCTTGTTATGAACTGTTAGCTGAGCTGGGTCCACCTCCGCGTTCCAGAGTTGGAGTCCTATGGCAGAGGCAGTTTTTAGCAACGTGGATAAATAAATACTGAATTCCGCGGACACGGAATTAAACTGCTGAAACAATACCTCTGTCCCCGGCGGATGTCGTTTTCTAGTAACAGGATGTATAGCGCAAGAATGCAATTGAAATAAACTCACGGAACCATGATCTCTCGTTTTGCTTCGGAGCTAGCGGATGCTTGCGTGTTGCCCTTCGCAGACCGCTTGAGGAAGACAACACATCGGCGCTCCTGCAGGAGGAAAGGCCGTGTTGTTGTTGCGATGTCCCCAGTGAATTCGTTTTGACCGACTGCCCGAAGTTCCAGCGAGGCTGCGGTGCTTGGAAAGGGCTTTGGAATATTTTCGGATGCCAGTGTAGGGTGTATAGAGTCAGGCCTAGTAAAATATTTAATCTCTGGGTGTGAACAGCGGCTTTTAAGGACATTTCATTTCCTGTCATTTTGGAGCTTGATTATTTTACTATATGGAAGTGTTGTTTTGTTCCCCCATCAAAACACGACTATTGTATTGCCACAATGTCGAATATTTTCAACTAAAAGCCGGTGCCAATAAACCAATTAAGCAAACCTACTGTGTTTTTAAAAGTAAAGTTTCATCACCTCAACACCTAACGTGATGGAATACATCTAAAACAGCAAGTTTATTATTTTTCTCCCATCTGAAGCGCACATTGAAATCCATTCCCATTACTTACAGCGAAGTTTGTTTTGATAAACAATGGGGTACCTCTGCATAAGATTTCTTAAATATTGGAGTAAACTGAAAATAATTTAAATAATGGCTTTAAATACTCTTTAACTACGTTAATTTATCAACAGTATATATATTTTGCAGCGTTTATTTTGCATTACATTAATGTAATCTTACCTAATAACAAGCGATGCCGTAAGACATTTCTAAAAAAAATACGTTACGCCAGCGCTAGGACCCAGAAACGGGCAGCGACTGTCCATTTCTACGCATCCTACTGTAGGTACACTGCAGCTCCGTGCGTGAGTCTAGGCTATATTAAAGAGTGGGAAAGCTCGTGGGTTTCCCTGCTCACAAAACAGCCAGGTTCACAGCAAGAACCGGGACGTTGAACACAATACGGATTTACAAATCCTTAAAATGTGCAAACCTCGGATTATTCTCAAACCCACAGGCACAGAACTTGCAAACGGGCGGAAATCTTGTTTTCCATTTCTACAGCGCCGGGACCCATAATGACAGCCCTACGAAAGACTCCCCGTTTGAGAATGGGTTGCACGAGCTAATCACCCACTTAGTTTCGTTAAAAAAAAGATGAAAATCTCAGAAAAGATTAATTTATGACCTGCGTGTGCGAATTACGTTTTTTATTCTATCAAAGCCACCAGTTGCATAGAGTCTTGCGCACATTGAAACTATCAGGGGGGAAGGAGCTGAGTTAACAGACTCCAGCTGTGCGGAAAAACCGCTGGCTTCTAAACCAGTCACATCTGGATTACC